AGGTTTAGCGAACTTGGTGATGACTGTGGTTTTTTGTGTTTTACAGTTTTACTTTATTAATTTTTAAATTTGTTAAAGAACTTGACTCGAACCATAGATAGTACTCAGTGCACTGTTTTATAGCCCAAGCAATTGCCTCATATAAACCTAATAAACCCTAAGCCGTAACAAAGGGCTCCAATATGGCCTCGGCAATGCACACCAAAAGTACAAACAGGGACACCATCCATGCGCAACATGGCACTGTTAGTACTCTGATATTTTTCAGCTGTTGATGGAATCAGCCTCTCTGAGAGCTACCACAGAGTTCGGGAAACCTGACTACCAACCGGCATCAGAACCATAAAACTGAGTTTTAGAGCTGTACTCTCTTTTGGAGATAATAGAATGAGTTGCCTAGTCTTAAAACTTGAGTTTCAACTTTTAATAAATCTTAGCTACTTGATTCATTTTATTGCAAATAATTTGTCAACGTCCAATCTAAATCTATTTCTCAATCGGGTAGATTGAAAAATACATTTCTCGATCAACCAGACAAATAATAATGCCTAAAAATAACTTAAATGGATTTGCTTCAGTTCTGATAAATTGAGTACTTTAAAAAATTAAAAAGATTTGCTGAAACCTAATTAGTGGCATATTCCAGATCGCTCATTTCATCAATTATGGTGTAGTTGAGTTTGTCACGGGGATCATGTTTCATGTTGTTTTTTATAATATTGCAGCTGCAATTGTGATATCAAATGTTTGTTGGTCTTTTTTCTTAATATTTCCATAATGAACCATCTTTTTGAAAAACTTTTGAATCCTATGCAAAAAATATATGACATTTAACATACACTTTAATGTATGTTTAATGTGCAAAGGTCACAATCAGCATCTTTTTCAAACCAATTCTTTTAAGTTCTCTGTGACTTAAACTGTTAATTTTTTTCCAAACAAAGTTTTTTATAGTGTTGCTTTTTCTGTTATTGTAGATTACGTAATTTTTTAAAATTTGTTTATGTTACGATAAGATTATTATAGTACTATTTATTAAACATATAACACTATTCGTGAAACGAAAACTCATAAACGAATAAACTATTTGTTATACGAATAATACTATTCGTTAAACGAATAACACTATTCGTTAAACGAATAATACTATTCGTTAAACGAATAATACTATTCGTTAAACGAATAATACTATTCGTTAAAGTTAAAAGATATTCATTAAAAGATATTCGTTTAGCGAAATTTACTATTTGTTAAATAAATAATACTATTCATTAAACAAATATTATCCGTTAAACAAATAACACTATTCGATAAACGAATAGTATTATTCGTTAGGAGAAGAGTACTGTTTGTTAAACGAATAGTGCTCTTGTAGAGAAGAGAAAAAGCAACAATTTTATTTAAATAGCGATATTTTTGTCATACTATATTTACGTAAGAGGTTTGATATCGAATTGGTAATTTCTAAATTCTTTTGTTAGTGATCCAAAAGCCCTCGGTTTTAAAATGACCCTGGTATACTTTTGATTTCTTTGTTAAAAATATAATACAGTACAATCTCTTTAGTTCGAACTTTATCGGAAAAAGTAAAAGTTCGAAATAGAGAGATTTTTGAATTATAGAAAGTTGACGTATACGGTAACTCAGCATTTAATCGAATTATGGAGGCTTTCGAATTAAGGCGATTCGAATTAGAGATATTGTACTGTATTGATTGATCAAACACTTATGTAACAATCTTAAGAAATCCGTGTCATCCATTAATACTGACACATACTACTGAATTAAAAAAGACCGTTAGGTCTTCTTGGGGCACCTAAAAATAAAAAATAAAAAAAAAAGATTTTGACGCTCTTTGTCAATCTATTGAAAAATGTGGTTTAAAAAAGCTAGTAAAACTTTAACTAAAAATCTCTAAAAATTAAATTTTATTTTAACATCCAAATAGTCTGAGTACTTCATATGAGCTCGGGTTGTATATAACGCAGGTGTCGGTTAAAATCAAAAAACAACTAACAAATTTTTAATTGGCTAAAGTTAAAAAGTCTTGCTTGATGTTTCAATTCAGGGCGAAATTTGATTATTGATCCAATGAGTTGGGTCTTGGTCAGATATCAACAGATCTGGACCCAGATTTGTACATACGGGTTCTAGGTTTGGGTCAGGTATCAACAAACCCTACCCGAATCCATACCAAATTTACTTTACAGTCTAGTCCCGCTCCGGTCGTGCCAAAACAAGAATAAACTAAGATTAGGCTATTGAGGGTGTTTGTCGTCAAACGCCCTCAATAGTTTGCTGCAAACAGTAAAAAAAAGGTGTAATTAAAGTAGTACTTGTAAGCTTTCGATGATGAAAATATTCAAAAACTGAAGTAATTATTGATAAAAATTTATAACTTTGAGTGAGTACTCAATAGACTATTTATCAGGGGCATTACAAGCAATCTATGCCGCCCTCTGTGTCTTCCTTATAAAATCTTTTAATTATTTTTATAAAAAAATCCGATAAAATTTTATCTTGGTTATTTAAGTGTTCCAAAATGAGCTAACAATCTTGTTACAGAACACCGCGGAAGAGCACTAGGAACTTTTCGCTGTTTTCCAAAATAATATTGTCAAAGCAGGAATCGAATCTTGAACCTTTTGATTTTAAGGCTCTTAGCAGAGGCAATTTTAGGGGGCGGGGGTGTACTGAAAATCATCTTTTTTGGGTGTGTACCACTCACTCCCCCTCAAAGAAAGTGATTTTTAAGTTACAGTTGGTTTTTTAACAAATATATTTGGATCAAAAATTTTGCACAATTTAAAAGTTAACCGACCTGAATAGGTCTTTTCTAATGCTCAATCTCAGTTTCATGCATACACCAACCAAACACACTCACATCATATGAATCTGTCAAAGATAAGCTTTCTTTCTTTTTTGCTATCTAACTTAACATCATATTCTCCAAATCTCCAAACCTCTTGAGTTGTCAAAGCACTGTTTTAATGAAAAAATCACTCAAAAAAAAAAAACCTTTAAATTTAACCCCTCAAAATACTGAACTATTTCACGCACTTTTGCAAAAACTCTAACAAGTTAATAAAAAACCTTGTACACGGACGCATCACTTATCACCGTACCACAAATAAACTCATCAGTCTTGGAAAAAATTGCGTCACAAATGTACCCAAAACTTGCAACATCCTAATAGAAGTTATTCACATATATTATAGAAAGCATTTGACACCAACATATACAAGCAGAAACCATACGGGATGCCTGAAACTTTGCATAAATGAACCGAGAGCTGGCTAACCAACCACCTACAACACGTAACCATAGGCAATAAAAGCAGTCTACAGTGGTGTTCCACAAGGTTCTATTCTCTGTTTAGCTTGCTCAAGAACTTAAGAAATAGAGAAACACAAGCAAGTTCAACACCAAGCCGCGAAACACATCCATAAGTCTATAACACGAAAATGCGAAACACATCCATAAGTTAATAGGATAACTTAGGATAAAAAATGAGATAAAAAAGTTATTAGGATAACTAGAGATAAGTTAATAGGATTAAAAAGTTAATAGGATAACTTAAAGAAAATTTAGAGACAAGTTTATAAGGTAGTTAAGATAGATAAGAGCCATAAAGCACTTATCCTACATTAAGCGACTGTTAAGACTAAATCTGACAACGCTAAATAAATGACGAGTAAGAGAAGATCTTATCAAACAGTACAAAATCAGCATTAAAATTGGCAAAGCTAACTTTACATTTCTTAAGTATCAACCTAAATCAAATTCTTTAAACAACAATTTCCAACTTTGCGAACACAGTAAATGACTCAAAGCACAACTTGTTCAAAACTGCGCAGAAAGAAACAAATTCAAACCGTGTGGTCCAACGCATTAGCCCAAAATCACTGTGAACTCAACAAATCTAAACTTCAAATAGTTAACTTAAAAAAAATATTGATTTTAATTTTAATTTATAAATTAAAATCAAATATATATATATATATATATATATATATATATATATATATATATATATATATATATATATATATATATATATATATTTCAATATTTTTCTCTTTTGCAAAAGACTTCTGACGATAAGATTTTGTGATCTTCTTTTAGAAGCATTGTTTGTATTTGAAAAATATGTAATTTAGATATATTACGTAAAATGTAAAGAAAAAATAAAACTAAAACAATAAACTCGACTAAAAGTAAAAATCTTAAAATAATTATATCTTTTCATTCGATTTATCCTAGCAACATTTAATTTTTATTTGCTTATCTAATAACAATAAAATGTTCTGTTATAACTGTTACCTAGTTTTTTGTTTACTCTCTTAAAGTTTTATCTAAAGGTTGTTGATTGCATCTTAGCATTATTTATATCTAATAAAATTTTTGATTATATAATTTATAATTTTTTTTTTTTTTGTTAACTTGATGCTTGTGATTTTCATAAATACTTTTATACAGAACCTTCTGGGGGGTCGAGCCAGCTTGGATTAAAAGTTGCGAAGCAACCTCTAATTGTCATCTATACAATCACATTGTAAATATGATTGTTATTACTTTTTGACATATAGCAAGTCAATGGTATATATATATATATATATATATATATATATATATATATATATATATATATATATATATATATATATATATATATATATATATATTTAATTTCTAAAGTTATCAAAATTAGTTTTTAAAGCAAAAAGTAACAGCGAATAAAAAGTTTTTATCAAGAAATTAAGACAAAACAAAGCGTGTTATCAAAAAAAGCGTTTTAAACTAGTAAAATAAATTTAAAAAAAAACGCAAATACTTATTACGTCACTAAATACATAAATTTTTAGTAAGTATTTATAGTTGAGCAACTTTCATTATAAAATTAACTTTGATTCTTAGGATTGCAAAACAATACACCTTTTTTTTATATATATAAATTTCAACGAATCCAATATGGCCATCACATTATTTATTGTCAAATAAAAAATACTAAAATATTTATCCAAACAATTTTAACAGAAATAGCATTGATAAAAATATTTATAAAAATTTTTAAAAAACAAAAACTTGATTTAAATAATTTAATATAGTATTAGGTGACTTAATCTTTTATTTGATTTTTACTATCAGCACGAGAATTATGATTTTCACAGTCCTCGTTACATTCAAGAATGGACGGAGTATCAGATTTTGGTCCTTGAAGAAACTCTGGTTGTATAGTAGTAGAATGAATACCTAAAAAAAATTAGCACAAGGTACATGAACGCGTTAAGTTTTATCATGATCTTTTTAACTTTTGTTTTATAACTGTTTGCAAAAGAGTTATAAAACAAAAATTTATAAAAGTAAAGGAGCGATTCTAGGAATAAAATGAGAGAGCCAACTGCTTTTTTTTTAAAAAAAAAGATCCTCTAAACTAAAAATCTGCCAACTGAAATGTGTCAAATGCCGGCTAGCCAGCTATATTCTTAAAAAACCAAATACATGTTGAAAATCGTTTTTTGGGGAGGGGTGACCCACACTTTTCATGCATTCCTTATAATTATCCACTCCCTTTAATTTCCTTAAATCGCCCCTGAGTATAGTTTGTAAATAAAACATGAAAAAAGAAAATAAAGAAGAAATTTTTTTTTTAGTTTCAATTTTTATTAATTAAAAAACTACCAACCTTCATTGTGAAAAAACTCTTTTAATTGGTTAGCAATTGCCATATAATCATTAAGGTTGCTACATTGAACATGAGCAGAAGCAATAATTTTGTTCCCCGCGAGCTGCCAAATGTGAAATTCATCTACACTAAGTACTTGAGGCACCTGCTCTACAATACGTTCCTGTATTTCTTGAATTTTTATGTGTGTTGGAACTGTCTGCATAAGAATCAAGGAAGATTCCTTCAATAAGGGAATGGAAGTCTTTAAAATAATTATCTAAATTATTTTGGTAAAAAGATAATATACTACTAATAATACTTAACAAGTCACCATAAATCTATTACCTAATTAACTTACCACCATAATAATACTCATCCCTGGATCAACATAGTTTGTCCATTTTCCATTTACGTAAATGATGATCAATGCACTGACCATGACAATTACCGATCCTAGTGCGTCTCCAAGTACGTGCAAGTAAACACCACGCATGTTTAATTGTGATGCCCCATTTAGTTTTTTTTCAGGTGTTATTTTAGCATCATTGCTAACTACATTTTTACAGTCAATCATTAAAGGTGCGTCAGTTTTTTTTTGGTTTAATTTGTTATTTGATAGTTTTCTTTCTGAAGATTCATGCAAATGTCCATGATTACTTTTTTTTATACGTTTATGCTCATGTGAGTGCTCGTGTCCGCCGTGTGAATGTCCATGCCCGTGTTGATGAAAAAGCATAAGTCCAACTAAATTAACAGCCAAACCAAGACCTCCAACAAGAAGAACAAGTTTTGGGTTCTCGATAGGCTCAGAGATAACAATTCTTTTAAGTGACTCGACGAAAATAGAAAAACAAAGTGCTACAAGAAACACAGCATTAACTAATGCTCCCAGAACTTCAGCTCGAATCCAACCAAATGTATATCGACTTGTTGTTTGACCACGTTTAGAATAGCGCAAAGCCACATAACCAACTAAAAGAGATACTACATCTGACAACATATGAAATGAATCAGCAACTAAGGCCATAGAGTTAGTGAGGTACCCTACAACTATTTCTGCAGCGAAGAACGTGGTAGTTAACATCATCATTGAAACAAACGAAACTTTTTGATTTAATTCACAGCCCCCCATCCTTTCACCTGAATATTTTCAACTTTAAGTAAATTTTTTATACTTTTTTTTGTCAAAAAACTTTTTTTATTATTTTGTCAAAATAAAATCTTTTATTAAAAATTTAAAAAAGATTTTACTTTGTTCTGTACTTTAAAGTTCACAACAACCTAAAGATAAAATGGCTCAAACGCTTCTTAATGCAGTTTGAATGTAAATCCATGTTGTGTTTTTTATGATTAAAAATACAGTAGTAGATTATCTCTGCACACCAGAAAAAATGAATAAAGTAATTTCTTTAATGTCTAAAGTAGGATTATTACAACTCCTTTCATTAAAAGAAACAAGATTTCTGCATAGCAACTTATAAACATGATAAAAAATTTAAGTACAACAAAAACAATAAAAAAAATAATAATAAAAGATTTTGTGTAAACTGACATTTTGTACCCATTCCTATCTACTGGATAAGTTGACTTCTTATTAACGAGTCAATTTAACATTAATATATATTTTTTTGGTACTTATTAAGGTTATTAATACTAATTGTCAATAAACTTTAACCAAAACTAAGTATATAATTTTTTATCAAAGAGAGGAATTCCTCTGAAGCTCCCAAATGTTAACATGGGGAACCTATTTATAAAAAGAGAATACTCAATGAAGTTTCAAGGTGTTCTTCTTGACAAAATATCACACGGGTAAGTCACATAAAATTAATCGAAAATAAAATTTCTAAAAATATTGGTATACTTTATAAAAAAAAACCTTACCTAAATCAAATTTGCTTAAAGTATATCTACTTCTCTTTTATTCATTGTTATCTCAAATATGCTAACATTGTTTGGTACAGCACGAATAAAAACTAACTGCAAATTAACTAAAAATTAACTATTCAACAAACAAAAACATGATATAAGATTAATATCCAACGCAGAACGTCTGTTTTATTCACAACCGCTATTTCTAAATATATCTAAAAATTTTAAACGTTTATCAAATAAATCATTTAACTTTTATGTACAAAATTACAATCATTTAATTTTTATGTACAAAATTAAAAATGATACGATGCCAAATATTTTTAAAACGTTATTTAAAAAAAACACAGCACAAATATCTTACTAGACATGCAAACAATAATTACATTCAAGCTAAAACTCACTTTGAAACCACTAAGTTTTCTATATTTAATTATTGGGCTTTAAAATATTGTATAGTATATTTTCATTTTATTTGCAAAGATTTATAAAATTCGGTTCTTTAAAAAATTCTTTTTTTTATTTTATATTTTCTAATTATATAAAAATTTCTTAATTCGAATTTTTTAATCGTAATAATTATTTAAAAATTTTGAATGGTCACACACGAATTTTTTAATCTTAATAATTGAAAACTGTTATATACGATTTGAATATTTTTTTCGTTTATTTGTTTTTTATTTTTGCTTTGTGTTCATTTAATAATGAAAATAAACTTTAAAATTTATTATCTTTATTTGTTTTTCTATTTCTTTGTATTTTTATTTGACAACGTTTTTAATGACAAGTTTTGATGGCTTTATTATTTGCAAATTGTTTGGGGCTTGGTGATAAGACTATTTTGTGTTTTTCTTGCCCCCGTTATTTGTATATTTTACAAATGCGAAAATTGTAATTATTTAAAACGAAATTTATGAAAAAAATAATAATAAATTAAAATAAGGTGTTCCCAGAAGTTCATACGGTCTTATAAAGAGCACCGCAGAAAAGCATTAAACTAGGAAATTCACGCCTCCTTTTATACCAATATCATTTATTAGGCTAAAGCTGGCGTCGAATCTCGAACATCTTGGTTCTAACCACTGTGCCACGGCTGAGTATTACGATAAAATTAAAGTAGCGGAATTTTTATATTACATAATTCGATAGTTTTCTTTTCCGCTCTGACCCATTTAAGTTTCCTGTAAGTGAAAATCTACCTTTATGCCTCACTTTTTTTAGTATTAATTTTTACATTGTTTTTCAGTTTGAACAGACGTTTTAAGGATTTGCTATTCTCATGTTGAACTAAATAAGTTTTTATTGAATTTTTTTGAAGAATTGAACAATTCTTGAAAAGAATTGAACGATTGAACGATTAAACGATTGAAGAATTGAACGATTGAACGATTGAACGATTAAACGATTGAAGGATTGAACGATTGAACGATTAAACGATTGAAGGATTGAACGATTGAACGATTGAACGATTTAAGAGTTTGAAGGATTGAAGAATTGAAGTACAACAGTGACAACAGTACAACAGGGTTTTATTCATCAAAGTAACTACTTTTTTGTAAACGAAAGCTTAAAGAACTCATTTTTACAATCGAAGATTTAACAATATATTTCTGATAATTTTTTAGTTATATTTCTTTTTACTTTCTATTTAAACATGAGTTTATAAAAATTATGTATCATTCACAATTGTAATTTGCATATATATCAGATATAACGCATCTTGTATTTATAACGGAATATTTTAAGTTTTTTACTTCGTTAACTTATTTTTTATCTTGTAAATATCTTATAAATTTTAAAACGAACATTTCATAGCCGTATTCGACAACAAGACCGTATGGTCTTCTACGAGTCCCCGCAATCTTTTATTTTTTAATAACGATTATATATATATATATATATATATATATATATATATATATATATATATATATATATATATATATATATATTTTATTATTATATATTTGTATTTTAAATATCGTAATGAAATGCTTATTTAAAATGTAATAAAAAAAACAAAAAAAAATAAAAAAAATAATGTAACTAACTTTACAAAAAGATGATTTTGATAGTTTCAAGTTATCACAAGTTATGAAAAAAACAAGACAATAAAATTTTGATTTGACTTAAGAAAATAAAATTTAATATTATATTAAGTTTTATTTACTTAAATGTCAGTTATATTAATATTAAGAGATAATGAGAAAACAGAATAGTGTTTCTTTCTGAAGATCTAACAACCGCTTAAAGGCAAATAAGTTTTTCCAGTTTTTCCAGTTTTTTTTCATTTAATTTTCTTGATTACAATGTAATCAGGAAAAATAAAATATAGTGTTTCATTAAATTTCAAAGATTATGTAATAACTTTTTTTTTTCTCTAACTTACTAAATGCGTTGAACCAGCTCACAAACTCTCGTAGCCAAAAATATCTTGATAGTGCGTATTTAACTAACTAATAAATTATGCTTTTTAAAGTGTTGTAGGTCGTGTACTCAAAAATAAAAAAATTGAACAAAATGTTACTTTTATGGCTTTTGTAAAAAGTTGTGCAATTTGCATCTTTTTTCCATAATTGCATTAATTCCGTAATGCAGCCGTGGCGTACTGGTTAGAGTTTTGGCTCAAAAGCTAAAGATTCTTCAGGTTCGATACCAGCTCTAGCCGAATAAGCAACTTTGGTAAGAAAGGGGAAAAAACCATAAACGATAGGGACTTTTTGGACACCTTAATAACTAAAAAAAACAACGTGCAAATTTTTAAGATTTTTTTAAAGAGCATATGTCCAAGTAAAAATAAAGCGATGAAAAAAAATCAGAAATGAGAATTTATATGTAAACGTATTAAGGAAATCCAATTAAAAACCTAAAATATTTTACTAAGTATTTTCATTTGGGAAAGCCGATGAAACGTAAATTTTTTCCAAAATCTTGCACCTCTTTTTAATTAATATTCACATACAGCTGGATTATGTACTCATATAATACTCGAAACTTTATACTATGAAAATAATGATTTCTATCAGTGAGATATAAAATCATTTACTTAATCCAATAATAACATCATTTATCCATAATAATTTTTTTAAAAGAGTATACAGTGATCCACTGTGTTAAATACCTTAAATAAATTAATAAATAATTACAATCAAAATTTTCTTCTGTTAAAACCATTAGCTATTTAGTTGACAGTTTAACTACTACGTGCTTAAATGAACGTGTTTTTTGATTTTGGTAAATACATTTGGTAAAATTATCACAGATTCTGTGAATAAACACTTCATCATCAATTACGCGAAAATGTTTCTGAAACTCTGGTATATGTGGAATACAATACTGTGCAATGTTGTACAAATGCTGCCACGGCGCAATCATGAAATTAATAAATGGACCACTCCCAATAGGCAGATTGTACGATATCCTTAAGACTTCCAACAAACGTCCTGGGCCCGTTGCGCTAGACCTTTACGAAGTTTTTAGAATTTAAATTTTACAGTTATTGCAAGACGCGAATATGGGAACCGTCTCGTTAATTACTGTTTCCATAAAGATGTTTTGTGGTTTTTCAAAAGGCTCTAAAACTTTCCTAACAGTTTTATTAACGTCCAAATAATAAATACTTTTGTATAATAGTGTTTTTTTTTAAAGTGTAATTACATAAATAGTTTTTCCAGATCATAATGAAAGTTTGACATTGTAGATATAAATTTTAATTATATTCATTTTGTTTAAAATATCTCACGGTAAACTTAAATTCACGGCTGGACTTTCTACTTACAAGTCTGATAAACAGCATGCCAGCTTTTACGATTTAATTTCATAACAAAGTAGTGACAAAAAATTATTATCCGTATATCAAAGCAAGCAAATATATTTTCAACTTGACCAGATTACACGTAAAACAAATGTTGTTTTGATCATTTGGGAGATCTAAATCTTAGTACCTATATAATAATTCGTTGTGAAAGCACTTTTCATATCATATTTTAAAAAAAACATTATTGTTTTACAAATTTTGGGTTGGTGGGGTTTTGGCTATTTGTAGTAAGTCCTTTTTTACTGCAGTATGGATAAGGCGTAAGTCACGGGGTAAAGCACAAGTGGCGATGACGTTTGTCTGACGGGATAAACTAGTTATAAGTGCTGATCCTCATCGAAACGCCTGTAATAATAGACGCGACTCTGAGGAGATGTTTATTACTTTATCACTAAATAATTATGTTTACACATTAGCATTAATGTTCTTTTTCCATTCTAAGGCCTTACATTGCTATCCATATTTTTTGTTTTTGTTTTTTATATTTTTGTTTTTGTTTTTTATTTTTAAGTTTTTTGTTTATCAATTTTTTGGTTTAAAAAAAAAAAAATTTATTTTGGTTATATTTGTTGTATATCTTCGTACGTACTAGTTTTTTATATGATACAATTTTTTGTTATTGTTATTGTGAGTACTGCTTGGATGTGTTGTCTGAAATTTTCCTCTATTAATCTTTATTTTTGTCTTGACAACTGTCAAAATATGCTTCGTTCGATAAATAATTCTTCTTTATTCTAATGTACTTCATTTCTTCCCTCGGGTGTTCACTGCTCGTGTGTGACCATTCGGCGAATTATGTATGCCAAAGTTTTTAAATAATAAATTTTAGTTTTTAAGTTAAGCTCAGGATTATTATCATCTTGATTATAGTGGTAACCATGCAACCAGTACAACCTGCATCATGTTCTGCTGCTTTAGGATTTGCTTTTCAATTCAAAGGCTAAGAAAAGTTAACTTTGAATTAATTTACTCCATGCGATAAGACTTTCAGTCTTATCGCATGGAGTAAATTGATAACGATAGCAGAGAATCTCTGTTAACCTGCCTCGCACCTCTTCTTTATCTAACAGGCTGGCATAAATGTGAACCTGCGTTACATTGTTTCCTGACTATGATGATGAACGCCGGACCTTTATGATTCTACTCATGGGTTATTGATTGCTAACAGTAGCATGTCGCGCATAGAGAGTGTCTCTGTTGAAATATTTTATCGCGCATTGTCGAGGCCACATAGGAAGCCCTTTGTTACGACTTCAAATTGATTAGAAGAAATAAAGATTCCGTGTAGCTTACTGCTTAACTTATCATGCACTAT